ATATTTACTTGTCTTTACCAGATAATTACCAGGGGCGTCATAATAATAGGAGGCTTTAGTTTCAGCACGCTTATGCTCTGAAACTGGAATGATTTAAGGGTGGATATTTCAGAAAAGCTCTAAAAGTTAAGACCTTTAAATTCTAGTTTAATTCCTGCTCTTTTGACGGGGAAGTCAAGCAGTATTTACCTGAATCTTACTGAAGAAGATCTTGTCCCAGATGCTGTCACTGCGAATTATCCCTCTGCTGACCTCGGCCCCTTTTCTCTTGGCAGCGAAGTTGAGCAACCAGCGTTTCAAAGGGGTGTTTGCCTGGCTAAAAATCTGGGAATACAGACAGATATTTTCCAGCATCACGGTACATTTTTCCACTTGTTAAAACAGCACTAACAGGGTGAACAATGACAGATCCAACACCTCAGTCCATTTTTCCACCTTTCAGTTACATATTTTGGGTTTCACCTACTTATAACATGCCCAACCTTAATAGATTTTAAAGATGCTGCATGATAGTAGATGTAACAAAAAACGTGATTTTGTGTTTTGATTTTTTCACCTGCAGTGACCTGTGTAATCCTACACGCGTATCCCTGGCTTTTCCGTCCACCTCACCTTGTCATACATGCGGTTGAGCAGCCGAGGCACCACGGGGAAAATGGTCGGCCGGAGGGCCTTCATGTCGTCCGGCAGGAGCCGGATGTCGCCCTGATAAAACCCGATCCGCCCTCCGTGACAGTAGACCACATTCTGCAGAGGCAGACATAAACAGTTACCCTTAAGCTATTTCAACTACATGCTGGCATAGTAAGGTGATGTTTCAGTATGCGTCAAAAAGGATAATCTGGTACAGTGCCTCGTTGAAGTATTCACACCTTTTGAGCTTTTCCGTGTTTCTTCATGTCACAACAACACTGAACATGCACTACAAAAACCATCGAGAAATTTGTAAAAATGTCTTAAATTAAGTGTATTTACCTTTAATTTGAGTAGGTAAATTAGATGATTTGCCAATGGATTCATTATTTTTACTCTTAAAATTAGATAATATGTTAATAAGTAATAAGAAAAGTATGTTTTTCTTATTTTAGGTGTAAATTGTCCTGTTTCATTGGCAAAGTGTTTTACTTACCTCCTCAATTCAAGAAAAAATGCACTTATTTTAAGAAAAAAATACTTATTCAGATAAAAATTTGTTTCAGTACCAGTATGAAATTTGTTTTTTATGTGGTTTAATCCGTTTGAAAAAGATAAAGTAGTGCAGATGAGGAATATTTAAGGAGAGCGATACATAATTATCTTTGTTATCACCCTTTATGCCGAGATTAAACCAGACATTGCTGGACTCTTTTAGACGTTACGCTACTTAACAGGACTAAACACATATGCAACATTACAGATTCTTTTATCTGTAGTCTTTTCTTTTTAAACAATGTTTGCTTTTGTTTTTAGTGTGAAAATGCATAAATATATTAGAAGAAGCAGAGATAACCACTACTTCCTATAACCTTACTTGGTTATTCACATGGATGCTGGTTTATGCTTAGGTCATCACTACGGTCGCAAATGTCATGGCTTTCAGTGCCACACTCACATGTTTTGGCATTTTACCAAAGAGGAACCTTACCATACTTGTTCAGTAGCATTATGACTTAAACATGTGAGTGACCATCTGCACAATGGGAATTTAATTAGGGCTGCAACTAATGATTATTTTGCAAATCGATTAATCTGTCAATTATTTTTTTCGATGAATCAATTAATCTGATAGAAAAAGGTTCTTTAAAGAAGATTTTTTACAAAATTATAGTAGGTGAAACCAAAACTTTTCTACATGAGGAGTTCTGGATCGAGCATTTTGACACACAAAATGTTTTTTCATCTTAAATGCAAAAGGTTAATATATATATATATATATATATATATCATTATTTTTTTTTTTACAATTTTGGTATAATTAGTGCTCTAGGGTTCACTCTCTCAGCTAAAGGCATGTTTTAGAGTCTCTATACTCCAGTTAACAGTTAATCAACAACTAAATTAGTTGATGATTATTTCAATAATCGATTAATTACGATTGATCCGATTAATTGTTTCAGCCCTATATGTAATGTAAAACGATCTGTTTGCATTTAATTATTACAAATAACTTGAACCTAAAACAATGAACCCAAGTCTTTTGGGCTCACTCTGGGTTTTGAATATATCCATACTCTACAGATGTGTTAAAACCCAAGAAAATCCCCATCTAAAATGCACAAGAATGGAAACTGCTAATAATGAGTGAACCATATAATTGTTTGAATAGCATTTTATTAGTGAGTAACAGAACTTGTGCAACTATATTTTCTATTAAAGGTGTTGTGGAGGAGTTTGGTGAATTTTTGAAATGACCAGCCCTCTCACCTTAAAAAAAAAAAATGCACATGCACAACCCTGTACCCGCTCCCGAGAGGGAACGCCTATTAAACGCGTGCGAGAGCGTGCACAAGCCCATGTCTACTTGTACATGCGCTGTTTGACAGTTGCTGTTTGAATCGCTCAAACAAGCTTACTTTCCAAAAGAAGATTTGCAATTTTTCCACTAAATCAGAGTCACCACCAGTAAGTGAAAATGGGGATGAGCACGTAGGACGGCCTTATGTAAGCATATCCCCAGAATGATTGACAATTAGGAGGACCAGTTATTAAGATGATCCACCCGGGAAGAGAACATCCTCCACTATACCTTTAAGTATCTCTTAAAAGTTAAGTCCACAAGAGTAGAGCTTAAAAATAATTAATTTAAAAATGTTTTACACTAAATGCAAAATATTTGAAATTATCTTTAATTTGATTATAGTTTATATATTTTTTTGACATAATTTAGACTTAAAGGTTAAGTCTATGTTATTTATATCATTGACAGGTTTATGTTCTTTTGATCAAGCTTCTTTTGACTGAAAGTAGTCAGTGATGAAAATGAGTAAAAGTCTCCCAATACTGAAAAGTGGGCATAAAGCTGGGTGGTAGTAACTCCTGAGGCTCTCTGCATAACCTCAGGCGTACCCAGAGGACAACCGTACATCTTAGCAATCCCACCGAAGTAAGAAAACCCAGTAGAGGTGTGGATTGCATCACATAACACCAAACATTATAACATCCTTTGTAAAGTACTGGTTCCCAATCTCTCCTAGTTGCTGCATTGCTTTCCAGGATTTACTTCAGTCAACCAAATGTTATATAGACAGTATCAGTATTTTCCAAAAGCTTTAATTATTATTTCCACGTTTGAAAATCGACAAACTTCTCTGTTTCATCAAACATGAACTTATAACATGAAACCAAACTATACTGTAGCTTGTTGCATACTGTAACTTTAAAACAGCATGTGAAAAAGACCGACAGGTTAGAACTCAAATTAGCAGCACAGGAAGTCGGTCACTAGCTGTGGAGCACATATTAAACTGCTGATTTAAGCACAAGCAGCAAACATACAAATATATCGGTTCGTTTTTTTGTGCATTTCCCTGTAGTTTATCATTAATCGTCATGTTATCAGGTTAAGTTCAGGTTGTCAAAAAACTAACACAAAAAAAAAACGTATGCAGTTGAGGGGAAGGCATTGCACAAGACAGCATGTTTGGTTTGTGCGATTTATGTTGCTGAACTTGCTTTTGTCGTATGGTTCGGGGCACAGCTCTCTGGGGAAGTTAGGTGGTTTCCTGTGTCTGGGTCTCACGCCTCTAGCACCACTCTTGTGCAGCATGCAGCTAAATGCTGCACCAATTGGTCACAACCCTGAATAACATATATTCACACATCTACATGTTCACATACGGTCCTTTATACATCTAAAACTTGGCGGCTTGGAATAACAGGAGTAAAAATAAACACTCTTGAGGCGAAAACTAAAAACAGGTAAAGGGAGAAGCAAAAAAAAAAAAAGAATAATGTGAGGCGCTTTACTTCTGGGTGTGTGGAACTGGTTACTGATAAGTGATGCAATGTGGTTTGAATACAAACTCAGAAATGTGGACCAGCAGGCAGTTTCAGATGTCACTGGCGGCCTGTTTGTCTCTTTTTGGGGTCGTGACTCATTTGCTGTCAACAGTAATGTCAACATCTCAGATTAAAAAAAAAAAATCTAATTCTCTGCAGCCAAAAGAGGCGTTTTCTGTGTCAAATAGAAATGTTAACTTAATCAACTCAGCTTTTAAAAAAGACCCTATTAAACCAGATTACGGTTCCTAACTGTTAATGAGGAGGTATTGAGAATGATGGCAGAGCAAAACAAAGCAGCAGAATGTGTAATGTATGGGAGGGTCATTTTGTGAAGGCAAAATTCTAAGGTGCTTTTACAGAGAAACAGCTCTATGGCATTCACATATTAGAAAAAAATAAAACCTACCGTATATGTTTTCTGTTTTTTTTACTTATGACCTGAATTTTTTTAAAGGTATAGTGGATGATATTTTTTTTGCCGGGTGGATCATCTAAATAAGTGGTCCTCCTAACTGTCAATCATTCTGGTGCTCTGTTTAAATAAGGCCATCCCACGTGGTCATCCCTAAATAGCTTCTTTTTGCGCGCATGCGCACTTTCAGACGTATATATGTGGTGAGCTACGGTTTCAGCCAGTCACTGAAGCTTGCCTTTCTCACAGAGGTTCTTTGAAAATCAAAAAAGGTTTTACGAATTGTTTGAGAAGAAGAGAAAGGCCTCAGAAGAGAGAAACGCCATGGTGTACACTGAAAGCACAGGTTGGGCTTCCCACTGATGCTTCAGTTGCAAAGTTTCTTCTCGACAGGCAAACTTTAGCATTTTTGGAGAAATCCATTTTGGCATCAGGGCTAGTAAATCGACCTCTATATTTTAACTTTCCCGGGAAGACGAGGTTATTTATTTTGCCTTCTGTGTGCTCTCGGACGCGTTTAATAGGTCTTCTCTCTTGGCAGCAGGTACAGGGTTGTGCATGTGCATTTTTTTTAAAGTGGAGAGCGTAAGCCATTTCAAAAAAGTCGCGAAAATCCACCACAATAAGTTTTTTAAAAATAACAACAAAACAGGAACAACCTATCCCAGCAAATGTTTTGTTCCATATTCCTGATTCTAATAAAGATATAAAACCCTAGGTTGGTCAGTACATATTTATCTTTTTGTGCATTTAGCAAAACAAGACACTGCATTGGATAAAACATAAACCAGAGCAAAGCTGGAATGCAGTAGCATTAAGCTGGTCAAAATTGGGCCTGATAGAAGAAAAAACACAACCATGATGTTTAGCTAATGCCTTGATGTTGTTTAATTTCTAAAAGTTATTGTTCCGTTGGACTTTTTAGAACATGTTAGTCATTTCTACCTTTTAGAACCCAGATAATTTTATACGAAGTAAATGTGGAAGAAGAAGCTTCAGATTACTTCAAACCTTCAGCCCTAATATTTTTGGTTTAAAGACATTTCCAGTTTTTGCTCCAGCTCTGAAAATCTACTTAAGGAAAAAAAGATGATGGATGACACAGGTGCACAAATACCGCTGAAAAGCTTGGAAACATTAGCTATGGCTTCGTCGGTAAAGATTTCTTTTGACTTTCTTTTAGGCTCGATGCTGCTTCCTCCGTCACACTTCAGCGTGCCCCTGGGCAAGGCACCTAACCCCATGAATCCGTATTGGTCTACAAAGGTGTCAAAGTTGTCGAGGACCGAGAGTAAATGTGACCCTTCTTTGAAACACTTTCAGTCGTCAATGTGACTGCAGAGGTGCAATATAAAATTATTTTTTGAGTGGGAATGTGAGGGATGTGTCATCACACGTGCCTGGTAGCGTAAGCATGACTAACCTTCAGTCAGATCAATGGATGAAACAGATCACAGTAATTAGGCTATTTAAAACAGTCCCTGCTGAAACTAAAAACCAGCTGGTTCTATTAATAACCAAGCAGGGATTTATATGCATGAAAAAAAGTGACTTCTACATGGATTCATTGAATGGTGGTTGATATCAATATGATGCACCCCGCTATCAATAGGGATAAACGACAGGTGTGGCATTCACCGGAAAACTGGAGAGCGAAACTTAAGACAGAGAAAAGGAAAAATAGGAGTGTCAGGCTTTTTTGTTCCTCCTCCAAATGCAGCTTCTAACACCCACTTTCCATGGAAACATTCCTTCTACACCCATGGCAACATCCGACTTCTCTAAACTCATGAAATGTTCCTGTTCTCACACAGCTCCAAGCCTCTTTACCTCAATTAGTCTCTCAAACATGTGGGCCAGCGGCAGGAAGGAGATGAGGCAATCATCCTGATTTGGAAAAATTACTTTCTGCAAGACACACAAGGAAGGAAGCGGTTAGGTTATCTTCACAAGATAATATCAAACAGTGCTTAGTAAAAAAAGGATTTTTCACTCACATCTGTGACTTTAAGGAATCCTGCAAAATCTGCCACTACGTTTCCATGAGTGAGCATGACCCCTTTGGGGTTTCCTGGGAAGGAAGACAGACATGTGATGACAAAGAGGATCTAAATGTCATTTATGTTAGGTTTTTTTTTCCATGTATCATTTCCAGCAGACACTTTACTTTAAACTGCATTAATTAGATTTGACTGACAGCTTAATTGTGTGATGGGTAACGCCCTAAGAAGTGCGGTAAAAGCATGACGATCCAAGCAGATGACATTTCAACAGAACTCTACCAACATTTCAGGTGCAGGGAGTTCTTTTTAGCTCAGGATCACGTGTCATATTTTAATAAGACTGATCTTTAAGGTGTGGCCATTAAATTACACTGAAACCCATAATTATTGCAACAGGTAAAAAACATGGGTCAATTATACAAGATGAAAATTGCACTAAAATAGATGCCATATAAATAACATAAACAAGAGGACACCAAAACATAAAATACTACAGCTACCATCCAATCTTTCTGATATTAATCAAACTCACTTTGGATCAGTTTTGTAACCATAAGAACAAATTTCCAGTTTTACCATTTGTTTTAATATTGTGTTGTAATAATAAATAATTGAACTTTATTGATCTCACACTGGAGAAATCTACCTCTGCATTTAACTCCTCCTCTTTGGGAGCATTGGGCTGCCGTCGTAGGGCGCCCAGGGAGCAGTGTGGGGTTAAAGGTCTTGCTCAGAGACCCAGAGTGGCAGACTGTGGGAGTGGGACTTGAACTCAGAACCTCAGGATTCAAAGCTCTACTCCCCTAACTAACCTAAGAACCTCTTAAAAACAAGCTTCTTCTAACATCACATTTGGCTGAGGTCAGCTGATTAAAGATCTCTTAAATACATTTAGTTGTGTTTTTGACTTGCTTTTTCCACTTTATGCACATGATTTAAATACATATCCTCCAACTGGACAAGAGACTTAGTTACAGTAAAGTAAAAAAAAAAGATGAGTCCAGCCCTATTAGTTGCTCACATTAGGAACGGACCTGCAGTATCACCATTATATTCACGATTGAAACCCAGAGGAATTAATTCAGAGCAAAATCCAATAGTTGAATAGTAAACACGGTATCAAAAGTTGAAATTGACTAATAGAGTAATAGAAGAATAAGCATGAGCCGGTATTCTTTTATTTATTCCATTTTAAAAATGTTTAATCTACAGAATTTAAATTTAACATATTCATACAGGTTAAAAGGTGATGAGTGTGCACTCCACTGTTTTCTTCAACTCTTTTTATCAATAGCAACATCCCTCATGACCTATAGGGCTTTAGAATGCAACTAATTCTACCAAAATGTAAAGCTGCAAACATTTTCCTCATTCATTTGCTTTGCAAAATATGATAGAGCAGAACCCTGTTGCTCTTAATTGTTTGAGTTGGAATCCAACAGCTCAAACAAGTGACTTTAAGGATTCCCCTTTAGTAAAGTTATGCCCTGCAGCTGCCAGCAATTGCAATATCCGACAAACAAGGGAGTCGATGTCGCAACAAAAACGGAAAGCAGTTTGCCGGAAACACTGGATGATGTCTGGAAAACAAAACCTAAAGCTGGAGCACCTGCAGTTCCCCTTTAATGTCAGAAGAAGGCGATGTTTACAACGGAGGAACCTTCTGCTGTAAACTGACACCAGACGGGTCCTCAGATGACCTCTTTGTTAGTTTGAGCGGTTGGCGCTGCTGTGGGCTGCCGTCCCTAAAAAGCAGCAGCGCTTTATCTCTGACATGAACGGCCTGCTGTCTGACATGATACAACATGCAGGCAGATAAATTCAGACTCAACGTTTTATTTAAGGAGGGGCAAACATTTCTCTCACTACCAGATCATTCTGCTGCATTGAACACATCTCGTTTTAACTTTACCCTTTAAAGTAGGAGATTATCTCTTATTGCTCTTTAAATCATCATTTTATTTAGTCACTATAGCATATTTCTGTGACTTGTTCTGCTGTAAAGTAAACACAAATTATTAAACCAATCTTATGGTTTCTCAAGTCTTCTGAGGGAACAGGACACTCCCATGTAAGATATTAGATATGAGCGACATAAACCTTGTTAAAAAAAGAACTGCGTGCGATCCAGCAAATGCTCCAGCCATTCATTTATGGATACTGACTGTTATTCAGCAGGGTTGGTGACACGCACTTTTCAATATGAGAAAAAGTGTCAACATGAAGAAAACAAAGGGCAGCTGTGTATCAGGCTACTTCCTCCTCCATCTACCACATAAGCAATAAGCACCCCAGCTTCCAGGTGCAAACTAATATTACCGTGCATGCTTAAGAGAAATAGCTGGATCATATATCTTATGCCTTAAATGTAGTCACATTGCAATCTCAAGCTACAGTCCATTTTATTGGGATTTACATCACAGACTAACACACAAATTAGGGTCAAAATGTGATGTGGAAGTAGTAGTTATTAAAGGTATAGTGGAGGATTTTTGCGAATTTTTGAAAAGTTCCGCCCTCTCCAATTAAAAAAAAAGTACATGCACAACCCTGTACCTGTTCCCGAGAGGGGAGGCTTATTAAACGCGTGAAAGAGCATGCATGAGCCCATTTCTCCTCATGCACGCTCTGTTTAAAAGTTGCTGTTTGCATCGCTCATACAAGCTTATTTTTTCAAAAGAAGATTTGCAATTTTTCCACTATGTCAGACTCACCACCGGTAAGTGAAAACGGGGACAAGCACGTAGGATGGCCTTATGTAAACATATCACCAGAACGATTGACATTTAGGAGGACCACTTATTTAGATGATCCACCCGGAAAAAGAACATCCTCCACTATACCTTTAAATGTTTTCAACAAATTATATTTTGTCTGCTTCAGTCAAAGTCTAGATCTTAAATCTTAAAATCTGCATCAAGGCTTCACCATTCATACTCAAAAGTCATTTTCTTGTACAGCATGACTGAGTTTTTACCATTTTTTTAAGACCAAAAAAACAAAACAAAACAAAACCAAAACAAAAAAGGGGCAAGTCTAAAATATGCATACCTGAAAAAAAACATAGTGCCTTAATTTTTGCAAAATTTGGTTCTACAAGGAATTCATTAACTGGAAGCTGAATACAAATGTCTAAAGTACTCCACACTTTTTAGATTTGTACATGTAAAGAAAGAAAACCCATTTTTTTATTTTGACTTCACTATTATGCACTACTGTGTGTTAGTCTAAACATAAATCCTAATAAAATAGAGTGAGGCTGTAGTGTGAAAAAACCCCTGTCTTTTGTTCTTTTATAATCAAACTATTACTCTGCATAACATGCGACATATGCTGCATCAGATATTACCTGTCGTCCCACTGGTGAAACACACAATAGACAGGTCGTCAGGCGCTGGTGGCTGTAGAAGCAAACAAAACAAACATGCTTTGTCAGAAAATATGGAACTACACCTTTACAAGATAGTACGCTTTTCAGCTGCAGCAAAACAATGCTAGAAGTAGGAAACATAAGTTGCTTTTTCATGCAAATGATTTTATTAGAAGTTCATTCAGTGTCACATTTAATATTCATAAAACTCATCAAATAAAGTATACAGCTGTCATTTCTATGTCTCTCTTATTGTGCACCTATAGCATGCATGCCCAAAGTCGGTCCTTGAGGGCCGCTGTCCTGCAGGTTTTAGAGGTTTACCTGCTCCAGCACAGCTGATTCTCATTGCTAGCTGGTTAACAAGGCTTTTTACTAATCTGCAATCATCTGAATCAGCTGTCCTTAAGCACATAAACCTCTAAAATCTGCAGGGAAGCGGCCCTCGACCGACTTTGGGCATGCATGCTATACTGTAGGTGCACAAGGGGTTAATGTTGTTGTTAATGAGTTTTAACCTCTCATTGTTCCATGTTTATCCTGTCAACAGACCGCTTAAACAGGTGTAACAGCTGTCAAAATAAACTCTTTTAACAACTTTCAATAAGTATTATCTACAGGAGAACATACAGGACAAGGTAAAAATAAAATAATTATATAAATAGCTCAAACAAGATGATTTTGTTGTTGTTCTAAGAATCCCTCACATGTAAGAAAACCAACAATGTGTACAGAAGTTTTTTCTTTAACTTACGGTAGGTTTTCTGTAGTGCTCTCTGCCCAGAGCCTGAAAGAGCAAACAAACGTAAAACTGTAACATTTGACATGCTTAGAATTTTCTTATGTTTTCCTCAGTGGGTGAAATCCAAGCATTTGTAGAAACATGTGGGCCTCTATTTTTGTGCGACTATGATGCACCTGATCTTACACAGAAATGTTGATAGTTAAACAAATTTTTTTTTTCAGATTTGAGAGATTCTGTTTCATTTGGTCTTAGCTCTTAACATACTGTATATCTTTAATGTCAGTGTTTTTTTTTCCTCCGAATATCACCGTATAAATCTCTACACCCACTGACTGCACTGTCTGACATGTTGGCTTGTTTTAATTCTAAGGAATGAACAGAACTGACACATTCTTCTAAACATGTAACCTTGGAAACAAATGTATGTGTTAGTTCAGTTTTGTTAACTTTTAAAGTCCTTGCATGTGTTGGATTCTGTAATGCAAGGGATCTGATAAACACCATTAAAGCATAAGCTCATCCTGTTTACTCATGTCTGACTTGATGAAATCTTAACATCTGATTGTTTTGACTGTCTTTCTCAGCATGCTTCTTTGTCTCTTTGTTTGAGAGATTTTTCACTGTAACTAGACTATAAAAGGTATGATCTAGCCTGCAGGCACAGTTGCAGGAAGTAACCCAAATGCTGCTTTTCCACGGCCCACATTTTTGACACGCTAAGAACATCAAGGCATTGAGACCATTCCTTAAAACTACAAATGCTTTGACTCTTTGCCTGTAACTTTTAACAGGTTATAGTTACTATTCCTTTCAAAATTTACACAGTTTGGTGCATTTCGGTGTTTGGCCCTCAAGAACAATGCTGTTTGTTTCACCAGATCTACATTAGGCCGTTCTTACTGATGGGAAAAGAGCAGAACGTAAAATAAACTAACATGAATTAAAGCTGAATGAAATTAAAAATTTTAATAGGGAACATAAACAAAGGATTAGCCTGGGGTTATCCGAAAAGAGTGCTTAATTAAAAACAGGAGAAAACCAGCTTAGTGCTAAAAAACAATGTCCTCCATGATAATAGTGGCTGTTTTGTATCAAACTGAACTGTTTCTTATCCCACATGGGAAAATATGTCTGTAAATAAAAAAAATAAGCAGACACTAATTTAATAAGAACCGCTATATCAGGAGTTGTTCTATTGGGTAGATTTATCTTCCTTTGTGAATAGCTTTTGGGTTAATTCTGTGTCAGTTAGACTCGTTGTCAAAAATAAAACAAAGGAATAGTTTTAAGTGATGTTCTTTTAAAAAGAGCAAAATAAAAACAACAACTATAAACAGTCAATACCCTGTCGTACAGTAAACCGCTTGCACATTTTAGATTTTAATGCTTTAAACCATTGTCCCATTTACACTCTGTGGTTATTCAAAGAGAAGCCCAGGATCGTTTACACAGAAAGATCAGTGGAACGTTGCCTCTTAGAATTTCCAGAATGTGAATCAACAAAAAAAAAAAAAAAAAAAAAAATTAAAATAATTGGCTAATAAAGTGACCATTACTGAAATATTATTATAACTCCTACACACTACAATGACTATTCAAATGCAGGTTAGAATGCCCCAGGACCTTGTCTTATTTTATACTAAATCATATGTTGTGTAAAATATCAATAATAAATAAAGGGGCAGTTCAGTTTACAACTCTGTAAGCCATTTTAAGTCATTTTAAACCTCATATATATATATATATATATATATATTAGGGGTGGAACGGTTCACAAAATCCACGGTTCGGTTCGGTTCGGTATATGAAAAAAAAAAAAAAATTTATGAATTGTAATTATTTTTATTGATTGCGGTTAGCATAAACAAAACGTGTTGCACAATGCTTGCACACTGTTGCACTTTTATCCACAACTTTCTTTCCGCCGTCATCGTAGGTCACTCTAAATGCAAAGC